ATTTCTGATCTGCTGTTCGTGTTTTCTCTCCCCTTCTGGGCTTATTACGCAGTTCACGAGTGGATTTTTGGGGAGGCGCTCTGTCGAATTCTGTCAGGTGTCTACCTCCTTGGCTTCTACAGTGGCATCTTCTTCATAATCCTGCTGACCCTGGACAGGTACCTGGCCATAGTGCACGCGGTGTTTGCTTTGAAAGCCAGGACAGTTACCTACGGCATCCTCACTAGTGTCATCACGTGGGCTGTTGCCATTCTTATTTCTGTCCCTGGGGTAGTATTTCACAAAACTCAGAAGGAAAGTTCAGGCTATACTTGCAGTGCTCATTATCCATCAGAGCAGAGAAATACATGGAAGCAATTCCTCACCTTAAAAATGAACATTCTGGGACTTTTTATTCCGATGTTAATCATGATCTGCAGCTACACACGAATTATAAAGACATTACTGCAATGTAGGAATGAGAAGAAACATAAAGCAGTCAGGCTTATTTTCATTATCATGATTATCTACTTTTTTTTCTGGGCACCATACAACATCTGCATTCTCTTGCGTGATTTTCAGAGTGTATTTTCCATCTCTACTTGTGAAGGAAATGGTCAACTGCACAAGGCAATCCAAGTGACAGAAACAATCTCAATGATCCATTGTTGTATCAACCCTGTAATCTATGCCTTTGCTGGAGAAAAATTTAGAAAATATCTTCGCAGCTTTTTCCGAAAGCAGATTGCAGTCCACTTGTCTAAATACTGTCCTGTTTTCTATGCTGACACAGCTGAACGAGCAAGCTCCACCTACACACAATCTACTGGAGAACAAGAAGTCTCTGCTGCATTATGATCTGTGTCTAGTGAAAAAATGGAATTGACTCTCTTGAGATCAACTCTATGTAGAAAGCCTGCTGAATCTCTCCTGGATATTGTCTCTAAGGCAGCTGAAAAAAAAAATAATCACAGAATACACATTTACCAAAGTTTGCATTTGCTCACAGACTTGAGTATTTGTAAATATATGAAAAAGATGCAGCAAATTATCTGACTGGGGGCCTGAGCTAGCAGCCTAACAGATTTTCTGAAGGGAACTAGAGATTATAAAGTTACACTGGTTCTTTGGAAACATCTCTTGACTTTGTGCATCACACAAGATACCTCACTCATTTAAACTCAGTTCCAGTCATATTTTTTACTAGTCTGGTTGTCTATCTCTGTAAATAATGCTAAATTACTAAGGTCCATCATACAGCATAGAACAGAAAATTTTATACACTTAGAATGGACTCTGATATTTCATGGTATATTTTCCTTTGTGTATGGTTGAGTCCTAACCACTTAGATCTTTCTCATAATGGTTCTAACTGCTAGGGGTTAATGCCTAAGTGACTTTCAGGTTTGATACTTCTGAAGGGTCTCTTTTACTCATCTGTTCTTTTATATGCTACTCATGCTAAAAAGATAATATAATTGAGCTATCATTAAAAAACTAATGTCCTATAGCTGATCAGAAAATCAATGTCGTGACAGTATTTTAAAAATATATTTCACATGGAGCTTTAACCAGGTTGGATGAAGAGTGGAGAGTGAATCAAGAGTGTTATAATTTTTAGTGCAGTGATTTTGCTTGCCTTTTTTGTAGCCTCCATAAGAGGAATACTTAAAAAAAAAAAGAGAATGCAGGCATAATGGCTATCACCACAACAGTGGTGAAACACATGTGAAAATGATTTCTGAATTGGATTGACACAGATGTTTTTAGAGATAAGTTATAAACATTTAAGTTTACAAAACATCTGAATAAGTAAAAATATTCCCTGTTCTACAGACTCAAGGGCAAAGGGCATAGACCATTTCTCTTTTGTTTTAGAAGCTGGTATCATTTGGGGGGCTGTGATAATGGCGGGTTTTTTTGCCATTTAGGAGTTCTACAGAGAGTAAAAGTTTCCATAATTAGTAAGACTGGTGGTTAAATATGACTGATTCTCCATAAAGTTCAGAACCTGTAAAGCATGGGAACACAGAAAACATGAAATAAATATTTGGCTACTCAGGTGCTTAAGAACATATCATAATCACAATATTAATTAATTTGGGACAATTTCTCCTTCTAACAGTTCTTATATTTCTCTTAAGACATATGGTATTGGACAACTTTGGAGACAGGAAAAAAAAAGTGAATATTTTGTTTGCAGTTCCTATCCAGGAGGGCAATTTTTGTTTCCCAACTTCTCTAGCCAGTCTTTAAAATAATATTTTCAAAGACGCAAATGTTTCAAGAAGACTCAAAGAAATTTTACAATGAAAAGTGTTTGTGAAAGCAGGAAGTAAAACAGGGAAACCTTATCAAACCACTTGTTTTGTGTTATTTATTTTGTCATATTAAGCACCACTTTGGAACTACATCCACATGGGAGGTGTAACAGAAGTAACACCTTCTTATCTCATTTACAAGACATTCAGCTGCATACTCTTCTTTAAGGCCCTGTGCATCAATTACTTTCTGGACTTAGTACATGCTTTTAAAATGGGTGAATATATCAGCATAATGAGAAATACACGCCTTATAGTCAGGCTTGTTAGTTTTGTTTTTTTTTACTTACAGAACACATTTATGAAAAAAAATTTATATTTTATTCTGTCTTGACAAGAGCTTTCTCTTGGTCTTAAAAACACCTTTAGGAAACTACTTTCTCTGGAGGGCTTTGATGCCAGACACAGTAATGCCTCTTTGTCAGCCCTTCGGGAGCAAAGCACAACAACCAAACATGCATGGGGACATGACAAGCTTTCTGAGAGGCACAGCAAAATTGCCTTTATCCTTCTACAGCATGGACCTCTAACAATGGATCTTTCTAAGCAACAAGCAGCTTCGGAGGAAAGAGGTGGAACTGAGGTTGGTGTCCCAGCAGTTCGGCAGCTTATCAAGAGCTCCCATCACTTCACTGGAAAGGGATCACACTTCAACACATGAAAACAAGGCATATTCAGCGACTGCAATGAACTGTGATCCACATTCAAGGAGACAATTGAAAACACAGTATTTGGTTGCACTGCTGGTGCACTCAGTTAAGGACTCTGCCAATAACTGTTATAATACTTTGTATTATACCATCCATTAAAGTTGGTTAACTTTTTTGTTAGACTTCTTGATCCTTTCTCACCTCCATCCCTAATTTTTTAGAACAGCCAGGAAGAATGAAAAAGGAAAATAAATTCCTCTTCATAACACTGAAAGAACAGGTGGGACAAAATTGGGGTTTTACAAATGGGTTAAGAACCAGCATAATCAAATAACCAGCAAGATAACTCCAGTGCTCTTAACTGCTTATCACTAATAATCTAATAATAAATATGCTATTTGTGTTGTGATTACATGCGATTTTGTTCACATTTACCAATAGGAAAAGCAGTATCTCAGACAATTCATACCAATCCTAGATGATTTATATTAGTGTTTTTAAAAATAGATAAACGTATAAAAAAATTCCAGCGTATTTAGTGACCTAAGTAATTAGGTCATCTAGCTAAAATCTAACAATTACAGCGGACTTGTGCACACGCTTCCCTTCAGTTCTTAAGATTACAGTGCCACCATGTGGTCACACTGTAAAGTTTGATGCCAACAAACATGCACTACTTCAGGCAGGCTTTTTGTGCTTTTCTCATTCAAAACATTTTTTAGGATGAATTTCTTCACACAAAGGGTGATTAGGTATTGGAATGGACTTTCCAATGGGAGGTGTCACTGTCCTTGGAGGTGTTTAAGGAGAGACTGGATGTGGCTCTCAGTGCGGTGCCATGGTCTGGTTGACAGGGTGGTGTTGGGTCATGGGATGGACTTGGTGATCTCAGAGGTCTTTTCCAACCTAATTGATGCTGTGATCTCTTTTCCTAAGAAAATCTCTCAATCTAATGACTCCTTCCACTACAGGCATTATCAGTATTATGCAAACAGCAGCAAGCCACTGTGGTCACTAGGAATGGAAGGGAGGTGCATTGGGTACATAGGCAGGGTTACCCTGTCATGATGCAGGCAGATGCCAAGAGTGTGGTTCAGGCTTCCAGACCGTGCTCTGGAAGGAGAGCATTTGATGTTCTTGCCCACAGCTTGGAAGCTACAATCTACAGGAACGGAAGTGAGGTGCAAGGTCCAACACCTGGGTCACGGCAATGGCAGACACAGCTCTGGGTTGGGTGCAGCGGCGATTGAGAGCAGCCCAGTGGAGAAGGACTTGGGGTGATGGTTAATGAAAAACGCAACTCACTGTGCTCTTCTCTGGCCACAATTACCACCGCACAACAACATTTTGGATTTCTTTCTTCTAAAATATATTAGCACAGAGGCATTATTGCCATTTCTAATTGGCCCAATCCACCTTTGGATCTGCCAGGGGTTGGAACTGCTGGACATAGAGGAAGCTTCTGGAGGCTGCTCAGAGAAGGCACCCCAGCTACCAAAAACCAGGCCTTGCAAACCCAATACAAAGTAACTGAAGGGGGCCTGCAGGGAAGCCAGAGAGGGACTCACAGTCAGGAACTGCAGTGATAGGACAAAGAGTAATATATATGGGCCATAAATTGAATAATGCAGGGCACAAATTGAAAGAGGGGAAATTTAGGTTAGATATTAGGAAGAATTTTTTTTCCTGTCACAGTGGTGAGGAGCAGCGTGCCCAAGGAGGTTGTGGCTGCCCATCCCTGGCAGCGCCCAAGATGGTATACCCTAGGGTATAGGGTATTCAGCGGGATGTGTCCCTGCCCACGGCAGAGGAGGCTGAGGCTCCAGGTCCCTCCCAACGCGTTATCCCTGCACGATTCCCTAAGTTCCGCTCCCTCCCCTCCCCGCCCTCAGCGAGGCGCTCGTCCCGCCCGCTCCCCCACGCGCGCTCCCAGCGGCCCCTGCGGGCGGAGCGCGGGCGCGCAGCAACGCGGAGCCCCCGCTCCCGCCCCGCCCACATCCGCCGAGGCTCCGCCCCTCAGCCGCACCCCAGCCCCGCCTCCCCGTGCCGACCCCGCCCCGCGCCTGCGCAGTACCAGCACTGCAGCTTTCCCGCGCGGGTGAGGGGCCGGGTTTGGTGGGGGCTCCGGTGGGGCCGGGTTTGGGTCTGTCGGGGTCGGGAGCGCCGGGCACCGGTGCCCAGCAGGGACCCCTCCGTGCGGGCATTGGACCCCGTGGAGAACGGGCCTCTCGGTGGGGACGGGGCTTTCCGGTGGGGAAGGGGTCTCGGGTGGGGGCCGGCCAGTCCCCGCCCCTCCGTGCCCGTTTGAAGTGGGTGCCGGGCGGCGTGTGCTGAGCCCGTGGCCCGGCGGGGACAGGGACGAGAGGGCTTTCGGGCTGCGGCGGGAATGTCAGGGTGTTCACTGGGTTTTGCTTCTTAGTTGAAGGATGAGAAGTAGTAAGGAGCCGTTTTTTGTGAAGTTCATAAAGTCTCACGGGAGCTCGGAGTATTTTTCTAAAGCTCTTGAGGTAAGTGGGTTTGGTCACCTGGGTGAACTTGGTGAATTGGCATGTGATTTCTGTGCCGTAGTTAGCTGCATGTGCCATACTATAAGATAAGTTATATGTGTACCCCTGGAAATAAAGCTTTTTCCATGGCAGGGGTGCTTAGTGTGTAATAAAGCTTGTTGAACAAGAACAGTTTTGTTGGACAGCCTCATGAAATAGCTTCAATTTCAAAACCTGGTGGCATGTAGGGAAGGGACATGTATCCTGGAAGGCCTGCATGGTGGTCACTCATCTAAGCACAAACTTTGGAAGGACACTCTGCATTGTTTTACACCTTGGGAGGTTAGTTGGGAGCCAAAGGCACTGTATGGCAGGATCGGGTCCTGAAGGCCTCTGTGCTAAATATTTGTCAGAATATTCTGAAGACTCAAGGGAATGAGGGAGACAGCCATGGGGTGTTTTAGCCCTTTCTTCTGCCAGTACCTGTTTGCATGGTAGCTTTGTTGTGAGCTGTTTCAAGGACGTGCACTTGTGTAGTTTGCACAGGATTGCTTCTTTATTGATTATTTACTAATTAAATAAATGTTATTGTTCACTTCATTTACCTGCAGTCTATAAAAGAATTCCAGTCAGAAGAACATCTCCAGATCCTTGAAGAGAAAACAGTACTCAATATAAGAGAAAATGATAAATCACTTTACATTTGTGATCCTTTCAGTGGTGTGGGTTTCAGTCATCTCAAGAAGGTATGTCTCCCACCAACTTGCTTTGAGCTCTGTTCTTTCCTCTTTAGAAGCACTGATGTCCATACTTACATCCTACATGTTCTCTCCTGCACCAAGTGCAGCAGGGTGAGCTTCATCCTGTATTTAGGATACAGGATGAAGCAAAGCATAATAATTATTTTCAAACTTTTGGAAAAGTAAATGGTATGGTTGGTCCTGATTCTGCTGGAGTCTCTGAGCTGGGTCTTATACTGTTTATCTCCTGATAAACATGATTTGGTTTGATCTGCAAGAAATTGTGTTGTGGACAAAGGCTAGCTGGAATTCTTTGGCCATAGCCATAGCATCAGCTGCTTTTACTGAGGCCAGAAAATCAACAAGGATTGTACGGAAAATCCAGAACTGAAAGTAAAAACAAACCTCTCAGCTACCGGGGAGTGCTAGAGGAGAAGGCGGAGGACAGACCAAGAGCCCTGCCCTCTTCAGAATTCAGGAACAAGGAAAGTCTTCCTGATGCCAGTGTACCCTCTGCTTATTTTCTTGGTGCTTTTCCTGTTATTTTCTTGCAGCTTGGCTGTAGGATTGTTGGACCACAGGTAGTTCTGTACTGCATGCAGTCGCAGCGGTGTGTCCCGAGAGCCGAGCATCCCGTGTACAACATGACCATGGCCGATGTCACAGTGTCCTGTACCAGCCTGGAGAAGGACGTGAGGGTAAGGCCTTCCCAAGGATGGGTTGTTCAGCTGGTTATCATTGGTATTTGCTTTGCATGATTCATTAGTAAGGCAGCAGTCAGAGCATGCACGTCTCATTGTGTCTAGATCCATCAAGTCTTCCTGTAGCTTGTAGACAATGTGTAGTTTATATGATTATATACATTTACTGTATTCAGATGCCTTTTTCTAATACAACCTAAAATGGCAACCATCTGCAAAATTTTGCTCATACATCATAATTGTCATGTTTTTATTTAGGATATCTATTATGTTCAGTTTATCATAAGTGCAAATAAAATGGAAATTACAGTTATGTTTTATGGCTTTATATCCAGTTAGTATTTTTTTTAACCGTTTTTGGGGGAAATAATGGACAATTGAAGTCCATGTTCTTGGTGTAAGGTGAACATGACTGTCACATAGGTTCTTTTTTTCCCCTGATGATTTTCTCTATTTTTTTCCTCCATCCAGGAAGAAGTTCATAAATATGTGCAAATGATGGGTGGATGTGTATACAGAGATCTCAATGTGTCAGTAACTCATCTTATAGCTGGAGAAGTTGGCAGCAAGAAATACTTGGTAGCTGCTTCTCTGAAGAAACCTATTTTGCTTCCCTCTTGGGTTAAGACATTGTGGGATAAGTCTCAACAAGGGTATGAAAAAAACAAACAAATTTTGTTTTGGGTAATGGTAGTTCTTATGTACAGACTAATTTCTTTTCCTAGCTGATTTTACTTGCAAAATAACTTCTTTCTCTCTTTCATTCCTGTAGCATGATGAGGTACACTGATGTTAACATGGAAGACTACGCCTGTCCTGTGTTCCTTGGCTGCACGATTTGTGTCACTGGCTTAAGCAGCTCCGACAGGAAAGAAGTGCAGCGCCTCACTGCTGAGCACGGTGGGCAGTACACGGGGCAGCTCAAGATGAATGAATGCACTCACCTCATAGTGCAAGAGCCAAAAGGTAAAACTGGCAGAATAAATGCTGTTTTCACTTCTGGTGTTGAAGTAGTGTGAAGGTGTGTAAGCACTGGAGCTGGAACTGCCTCTGCTTCAGTGTTGCTCTTACTGCTTCTCTCTAGGAAATCACTGTTATGAAAAGAGTTACACAGGGTACCTTTGCTTTGCTTTAAACACATGGGAAAGAGAACAAAAGAGGAAGAAAAGCCAGAGATATAGATGGCATTTAAAGAAAGGAAAAGGGAAAATCCTAGAGGGGATAAAGAAAAGAAAAACTTTTTTTGGGAGAGCAAGATAGGACGTAATTTGTACCGTGATTGAAGTTGGATTGTGGCCTGATGTTTTTTAGCTGATTATTCTTTGTGCCTTCCAAATTCCCTACTAAGGTAAAATGAAAGCTCCTTTTCCTTTCTCTTGGGAACATGAAAGGATTTTAGTTTAATTGTGAGAAGAAAGGAAAGGTTTTCTTTTTTGCCTTGATTTCTCTCTCTTTGCTTATAGTGAAGTATGCTGGGACTTTTTCCCCTTTTGTGTGCTTGAAAGCTTTAAAGTCTTTTTCCCCTTTTTGTTTCTTTAATGCCTTGTCATATCATGGGTTAGCCATCCATGAGATTTTTCTACTCTGACTTTAATTACAGCATAAGCAGCTTATCAACAGTCTAGTATAACATAATTTGTCCATTAAAATCAGTTATTTGAATTTCTAAATTTTCTTAATGTCCAGCCATCTTTTAGCAATCGATATTTGATGCTTTAGTCTTTTAATAATTGTGACTTTTTTAAAATTTTATTTTCATTTGGAAGGTCAGAAGTATGAATGTGCCAAAAAGTGGAATGTGCACTGTGTGTCAGTGCAGTGGTTTTCTGACAGCATCAAGAAAGGCTTCTGTCAGGATGAGACAATGTATAAAATAGAGGCTGGATCACAACTGAGTAATGCACCCAGTACATCAACACCTACAAATGACACCAGCAAGCCTCCCAGTAAGTAAGATAATTTAAAATGTGTTTCAATGATGTAGGAAACATTTGTGTTTAGGAAAAAGAGCTATTCTGAGATGAGAAAGGTGCTTGCTTTTATAAATAGTGGTTGGGGTTCTAGATTCAGTTTAAGCTTAAAACATAGCAGATTGCTTTTATGCACATATTTCAAGTCTACACTGTTGGAATATTCCAACATGTGTAGACTTGAAATATGTGGATGATGGATAAAAAAAACAACAACCTTGAATTAGGTGTATGATTGTCTGCTTGAGAACCAGTGGTGTATAGCAGTACATCCTAAAAAAGCACAATTGTTCATAGATTTAAGTTTAAAACAAGTGTTTATGAGTTTAATCTTACAGCAGTCTTGGGGTAGGGGGAAACAAATAGGTTCTTATTAATCTTTTTCTGTTTAATTTTTCTTTATACACTTGCTTTTATTTATTCCATGTTAATAACAGAAGGACAGTTAAAAGTATGTTAAGCACACATGGTAGCCTAAAAGATACAGCCAGCTTTAATGTGCATCTTTGTGATGCTAACTCCTCTTAAATAAAGAGTCCTGTTTAATTTAAAAAGTATTTCTATTAGGTGCCACAAAACTAGAATAACAGCTTTACAAACAAGTCTCATTGGCTGCTGTGTCATGGGTGTCGTCCTTTAGGAAATAAACAGAAGATGTATCCGCATTCTTTCTAATAAGATGATGTTCAATCTGTGTGTAAAGAAAAGGTTTAGCAAAGGTGTTACTTACCTAGTATTTTTCATTCTTCAAACTTTACATTTCCTTATAGCACCACAAATTTGTAAGTGGCAAGTCTGTATTTTCTTTAGTGAAGCAGTGGAGAGAGCTGAGCCAAATCTAATGCCTTCTTTTTTAATTTTATTTTTATTTTAAGATCACGCCTTTTCAGATGTCAGCCACATTTCCAATATCAATTTGAGTGGTGTTAATGAAACTGCATGTAGTTCAGCTATGAGCAGCAGACTGGATCCTGTTTCTGATGAGCTGGAAAACCTGGACATAAGTTCTTTTCAAGCCGCTGAAGATTTGCTAGATGGGTGTCGAGTATGTTTAACGGTGTATACTTTGAAATGTTCAGTTTTAACAATGCAAAAGCAACTATGTAGAAGCACTGGCACTTTCTGCTTGAGTAAATAATTTCCATGGTCAGCAACAAATACCAAATTTATTTTGTGTCCATGTGCTTGTGTGTGTGTGTGTCTGCCTATCTGTGTGTGTGACTATAATTATATTAAAAATGTGGTGGAAGTATAAAAGTTTATATTCATAGGTATCTGCATTAAACATTAGAGGGAATGGATTCTAGAATTAGTGTGTGGGTTTGTTTGGTTTTGGGTTTTTTTTGTTTATGCAATTTCAGGGTTTCGTTCCATTAGTAAACATTGACTCATTGATAGACTAATTTGCAAAGCTAAATTAATCTTTATAAGTGCCTAACTGTTTTTGCTGCTTTTCAGAAGCTGCAGCACTACTTTCTGTGTTCTGCAGCAGTTAAAACAAATTATTCCAAAACATTCTACTTTATTTTTTCTTATTTTGTTGGGGTTTTTTTTACATTTTTAAGGCTTTACTTGTTGCTCTGTTCTCTTTGTAGATCTATCTCTGCGGCTTCAGTGGCAGGAAGTTGGACAAGATGAGAAGGCTTATTAATTGTGGTGGTGGCGTTCGATTTAATCAACTTAATGAAGATGTTACTCATGTCATTGTGGGGGAAAATACTGATGAGCTGAAACACTTTTTGGACAAGACAGCTCACAGGTTGTGATAGCTATATTGCTTAAGGTCTGGTTACACCTCTTTTCCAGCTGTGGTGTCCCCAGCACAGAAAAGGCATCAAACTGTTGGACTGAGTTCACGGGAGGGACACCAAGATGGTCAGAGGAATGGAGCACCTCTCCTGTGAAGATAGGCTGAGAGGATTTGTTTGAGAAGGATTTGGGGTGACCTAATTGTGGTGGTCTTCCAGTACCTAAAGGGAAGTGGAGAGGAACTTTTGGCAAGGACATGTAGAGACAGGACAGAGGGGAATAGCCTTAAACTGAAGGAGGGGAGGTTTAGTTCAGATATTAGAAAGAAATTTTTTACTATGAGGGTGGTGCCCCATCCCTTTAAGTGTCCAAGCCAGGTTGGAGCAACCTAGTCTAGTCAAAGATGTCCCCTGCTCATGGCAGGGGTGTTGGAACTAGATGATCTTTAAGTTTTCTTCCAAACCATTTTATGATCTTTGAAATCATGTATTGATTTGAAACTACTAAGTAGTTCTTGATTTAAATTAGAAGACTTACAGCTAGTGGTAGTAAATATGTCTACATGGGCTTTTCAGTACCTTTGTAGTGTACAGTACCTGCTGTATCTTTGGGTAGCCATGGGTAGAAAAGCAAGTAGAAAAGCAAGTGTTCTTGTTGGTGAGAAAAGGTGTTAATGTGCATTTATTAGTGCATTGAGGAGGAAGAACTTGGCAGTGCAACAGTGGCAGATATAATTTTTTTATGTTATAGAAAATAATTGTGAAATGCTCTGTTCTCAGACTGAAAGAAATAAAGTCTTTTAAGGGTTGTAAATTGTCCAAAGCTTGCTTAGTATTAGAGTTACAGACTTTGTGTGTGTACATACTGGTTTTTTTGGTCTGAAACCTTCTGTGACTTGTTTCTATAACATTTTATTTTATAGGCCTCATATAGTGACAGCAAAGTGGTTGCTGGAGTCATTTGGTAAAGGTTGTCTATGTCCAGTGGAGCACTATATCCCTCTAAACTACCAGCTGTTAGAGAATCCAATTTTAGAACAACCTGGAATGAAGTCAATTTTTCCCAAAAAAGCCAGTCTCTTGAAGAAAGATGCTGTGAACATTATAAAGCACCAGAAAACTGCTGAAGATGACTTCCTCTCTCAATATGCAGATGACTATTCTGCACTAGGTATGTTCTAGGCTCAGCATACTGTAGAAAATTTAACTGCTCATAAGTAGCATTTGAGCTTGCAGAATTTCCTTATTAAAAATTCATTCACATCTAGTATGTTAACTTCTACTTTGTGTTTCAAAATTCAAATTTAAATAGGCCTATGTAGAACAGTTTTTAAGTAAAACCTTGCTGTAAACAGCACAGTCCTGTAATTTCTTCATGAAACTGTTTTCGGTTGTCTTTGATGTTCTTGTCAAACAATTATTATGCTTGATTCTTTTTTATTTTTCTTTAACTTTTCAGATGAAGTTGAAAAACTAACATCCAGAACCTTCAGTGATGTTACTAGCTCGACTGCCCAAGGAGAGAATCAGCCTTCTGTCTGTAATGGGTCTTTGGCAGAGTCTTCTGCACTGGCTGAAGGAGGCTTATTTTTCAGGAAGAGATTTTTTCTTCTGGGTTTTAGTGAAGAGGACGAATCCTGCCTTGCAGATATTATTAAGGAGAATGCTGGGGAAGTTCTGCCACTGCAAAGCAGAACCATTGCAGACTATGCTGTGGTGCCTTTGTTAGGGTGCACTGTGAAGGCAACTGTTGGTGATGTCGTCACAAATACATGGCTGGTAAGGGAATTACACTTTTTCAATTCCCAAATAAACAGTTATCTCTATTAGAAATTTGTCTTGTCAGAATGCAGCTATTAATGGCTTAAATATAAAGATACTGAGATATCAGCCTCATTTCATTTGAAATGTGCTAAACAAAAGCCTTCATTAAAGCCTCTGTATCTGTAGGGTGTCTTATCCGTTTCACTTCATTTTCCACAGGACTGTTAAACAGGACTGCGTTGTCATGACCCAGGCTTATATGAGGTCTGACAGCATTCTGTCTAAATGAACTGTAGAAGGAGCTAGTTGACTAAAAATGATTGGATATTTTTGTTTGTTTCATGCTTTTTGTAAGTTTTTTTTTTTAATTTGTAGCAGAAGAGCAAGTCTTTATAGCTTAAAAATGCAAGAATACTAGCCATCTTTGGCAAGAGCAGGCCCATGATATAGGCTGCCTGCTGTTAGCAGCTTTCACTATTAGGTAACTTCCTGTGAAGTAAATCTATACAGACCCTCAGATCATGTACTGAACTGGAAATTCCAGGTTTATGGGAACCTGCAGAATTGGAATTTTAATAACTGAAAAGTTTTGAATAATGCTTCAGTATGTCAACATTGACAGAATAGACATGGTCTAAGAAAGAGTTTGTCTGATCCAGTGGGAAATAATTTGTGTGATGATGGAAGCATGATTGCTCATTGTTGAGTCCATAAATGCTGTTGCAGAGTTGCTGAAATCTTGTTGGCTTTGTTACTATTGGACTCAATTGACATTTTTATGTTTTTCACCTTCTTGAAGATAACGTGCATGGAACAACAGGCCCTTTTAGATCTCAGATCCAATCCACTTTTCACACCAGTCCTGGTAATGGAAGGAGCTACCCCTCTGGAAGATTGTGTTCTTTCTTTCAGCCAGTTCACGGGTGCAGAGAGAGACTCCCTTGCTTATCTGGCAGAGCTGCTGGGAGCCAGGTACTTCTGTCACAGTTTCTCCTTGATCTTTCAGGAGCCAATGTGCTGCCATTATGCATTTCATTTCTTCTGTACAGATACTGGAGTTAAAGCTCTTTTGAATTCCATCCATTTACAAAACCTCATGCTGAAGCAATGAGACATCATTATATAGGTCTTTAATTTTGCTCTCTTTTAAGGAAATATGGTCAGTACTCACACAGTCTCATTTCTACCAGAGTATGCTCAGTCTCTTATTTCTCAGTAACTGAGTCTCAGCGCTTTTTACTCTGCTCATGAACTGATCAATGCAAGTCAGGTTTTCAGATGTGGCCTTCCAAGTTGCTCTTTGGTTGTCTAGGAAAGGACCACCTCAGTACTATCTGACTTTGCCTCATAAGTATGGTGAACCCCATTCGCTATCCCAGCTCCTAAGAAATGGTGTTCTATTTGCTTAGAGTTCACAAAAATCTTTGAAAAACTTAAAGAAAAGCATGTTTAGTCATGACATGGCAAAATAGCGTAGCTTAGAGTAAGTATCATTTGATCTGGTTTGTAGCCTGTTCAAACTGAGTTCTTTGCTGATGAGTTCTCAATCCTGGCATCTTTTTGCAAGATTGTATCACAGATGATAAGAGAAAAACTGTAATATAAAGAAAATTGTTGTTCATTTGGAAGTGATGCTTGTTGACTCTGGGAGGGAAGCAAGCCTGTTCCATTCATCTTGCTGAAGAATGTTAGGCCCAGCACAGGATTTGAAAATGGGATATTGCTGGGGGCTTGCTGGAGTAATTGCTTTTAATGCTGGTACAAGTGAAACATTACTGTGTAATGTTTTTTGTTGTTGTTTTGGGAGTTATTTGGGGGGTATTTGTGGATTATTTTTCCTTTCTGCAGGTAAGGCTGTAAAGTGTGAAGTGGGTTGCCTTAAGTATCTACTTCTATTGGTTCTTCTTCTATTGTGAGAATACAACTTATAATAGTATAAACGTGCCCTAGATTAATGCTGTTCATGACTAAATGAATGTTTTATCAACCTGATTGCAGAGTCCAAGAATTCTTTGTGCGGAAGGCCAGTGCCAAAAAAGGGATGTTTGCCAGCACCCATCTTGTGGTGAGAGAACCGAACGGCTCCAAGTATGAAGCTGCGAAGAAGTGGAATTTGCCAGCAGTCACTGTAGCTTGGCTTTTGCAGTCTGCAAGGACAGGAAAGAGGGCAGATGAAAGCAAGTTCTTGGTTGAAAATGCGGAGGCTGAAGGTTGGTTCTTAGCAAATTAGGAGATATGATTGTGTCATTGCACTGTTTGTTCACAATAAAGAAAGCAGGTGTGATGAAATTTTCTTTCCTAACACCTTCAAAGTATTAGAGCTAAAGGATATTTTCCAAATATAAGGATAGAATTGTAGATTGGTTTGAGTTTGAAGGCACATTAAATCATGTAGTTCCAACCCCTTGCCATGGGCAGGGACACTTTCCATTAGATCAGATTGCACATGCAACCATGCTGTTGAGTAGTGATTACAGAAATGATATTGTGTGTTTGCTGCAAATCTCATGGAGCCAGTGGGCTCTGGTGCTTATCAGTCAGTTGGGATTCAAGCTTAGTGTTTCAACTTTGTTCTTTTCAGCATGTATGCTGCTTTGTAGCCTGCATGAGAATTGATTAGAGATCCATCTTAGGACTTCAGACTTGTTAGTGTGCAATGATTTGATGCCCCTCTCTTCAGTTCTTCATGGTTGCTGGTTAAATAAGAGTGTGTGGGGTCTGTGTTCAAATGGAAAACCAGTTTACTTGCTTATGTTTTCTTTGTTTCTTTTAAAGATACAGAGAGTTTCATTACTCAGCTTAGCAAGACACCAGCGACTGTAAAATCTCCTAATTTTGAGCAGCCTATTCATATTCTTGAAGCTGGAAAAAAAGGACCTGTGACCCCCCTTGATATCAACAGGTTTCAGAGTAAAGCTTTCCAAGCTGTAATCTCTCATCATACTGGGAAGACAACTCCTGTTGCACAAGGGGGACCACTTCAGAAAGAACCATCTTTAAATCTTGACACACCATCAAAGTTTCTTTCCGAAGACAAGATCTTCAAGCCTTCTTTTGATGTGAAGGTGATTTTTGCAAACTTTTTAGTCTGTGTGGCTAGTACTATTTAACATGTGCATAAACTTTAAACAGCACAGAAACTGTGCTTTTACCCCTTTTTGTGCTGTTCCCATACAGACTTTCCCTTTTGAACACAGCCAGGAAAACTGGCTCGTTTATTTGTATAGTTTAGTTAATGGCTTGTGGACTAAATTTATTGAATAGTAAGTGTTGTAATGTTCTCAGCAAAGCTCCTTTGTGCTTATTATGCTTGTGTGTCCTACACCTCAGACAGTATCCAGTCTGTGTTCTTTGCATCTAGAGACTGTTAAATGTGACAAGGCACCTTGGAATTGCTCCACGTATTTGTAAACAAGCGTTTGCATTTTCTGATAAAATGCTACATTGGTGGTATGTTTTAATGTAATAGCTTTAGAGCAAGGTGCAAGTACATTAAAGTAGTTGGTTGGGGTTAGGAGTACCTGGGTTTGGTCACTGGCTTTTCCATTGAGGGCAGTTCTCAGTGATGGCAGTGAACAGAGAGATTAATAAGCTGTTGTCTCCTTGTTTTGCTTCTGCAGGCTCTAAGATGGGGTTTGCCTTGTACAGCTTTTGTGCAGTGGTTCTGCAGTTGCTCTTGGTAACTGTAGTTTGCTGTCCTGCTTTAGGAGTTTGAAGTTCTACTGTGTTTGTAAAACTTGCACTTGAGTTAGAGTTTTGTAAGATATTCATTAAAGGCAGTCAGTTTCTTCTTTTTTTTTGATAGGATGCTCTGGAAGCTCTGGCAACTCCTAGAGGTTTTGAACAAAGAAACAGGAAACTGAGCACACCTCTCTCCGAAGTCATTGGCAGAAACTTGAAACTGGCACTGGCAAGCAGCACAACTCATGCAGCAGCTTTTACTGCCAGCCCTCAGTTGGCTGCTGCACAGCCAGAAGTGGTAGGAAATTTGGGGGTTTAGTTGCTGGAGCATAGGTTTAAATAAGAAAAAACTTTATCCTTTATGATTTAAGTTACAAAGGAATTTGTGAATTGTTGTATATGATAAATTCATATGATTATGTGTTCTTCAATGACAGTTAAAGCAATGTAAGATAGAGGAATTTCCTTACGGAAGGCAAAGAACTTTAAAACGTTTTTCTACTATCTGCATTACTGTCTCGAATATTAAGCAGTGGCTAAGTGATATGACATAAATATGTGCCAGTTTAGACTGTAGTATTGGAATGAGATATCACACTTAAGAAATTCTCAGGTTCCAGCTAAACAGGATTAGATATTTTGTCTTGGACTAAAATTTGGAGTTCTTTATTGATGCATGTGTCTTCTTTTTCTGCCTTCCTCTGTCCTTAATAGGAGAAGAAAAGTGAGAGAAAACAAAAAGATGTAGGAGGAAAGGGAGGATTTATGTATTGCTTGCCATGTTAGTGCACTGTTTACTGTTGGAGGGGTAGAAAGCTTATGACCTCTGGAAAGGGAAGGCTGCTACTTCTTTTGTAGCTCCTTAGTCTTCTAAAGAGCTTCTCTTACTTCTCTCACTCACTTCTCTACAGTGAAATACTTCAGTAGCATCAGGTTTCAGAATTCCTTAATTTCGGTGTTCAGGCTGTGATGAAAGGAGTAGGATATGTTCTAGGGGGACTGGCTTAAACTTTATCTTGGCATTCCTAGTGTATGGTATGTTAATAATGCTGGGTTTTGAGCATGGGTAGGGGAGCATCAAAAATAGAGGAAGTGTGTTTCTCTTACTTTTGTTGTCACTGTGTATTTTACTACATGCTTCACTAAATATTGAAGTATTTTTGTTATTGATACAGAAGCCTTCTCATCCTGACTCTCCTGTTTTTATCCCTCCTGCTTGACCAGGAAGAAGAGCCCAAGCCTCTAGCTGGTGCTGTTATATATGTTAGTAAAAAACTTTGTAAGAGGCAAAGGGAGCTGAATGCAGTAGCAGCTTCTCTTGGAGCAGACTACAGGTATCAGCCAATACAGTGGCTTCTGAGCTTTTGCACTAATGTGAATTCTAATAACTTTGAGTCTTTACATCCTATTATGTCTTTTGCTACAGCTAAACATTAGATTTCACCATCCTAAACAACATTACAAGTCATCCACTTCTGGTGTGAAATAAAGCCATTTTTCCCTGCCACATCCCCAGTCCCCATGTTCTTTGTAAATCCATCTCAGGAAGACTGTTTGTCCAGAAGTCTTCTTGAATTGCAGATTTTTTTTTCTCCTTTGGTTTGAAGAAATTTTGCTTTTGGATGGTTTAACATTTGCTTTATATTTTACATTTTGAATTTAATGTGAATTTGTGTATGTGTCTCCTGGCTCAAAACAAGTTATTTTCTTGATTGTAAGCATGGCTAAGTCAGTGTTCTTAGAAAAGCTTAGGAAAAAGAGGTTATCATGAAGAGAAAGTACAAACTAACATTTTTGATTTAAGACAGAATTCTGCTTTCACTATACGTGTTTTGCTACTGACTTTTATATAAATGTTATTATTCATGGTGTGAAGGAGGTTAGCCTTATGTTTGGTAGTGCCTTAGAAATACAGAAAATAGTTGGATTAGATGGAAAATACTTGTTTTTATCAGTTTAAAAATTAACAGTCATCACTTTTTTTTATTTTGAGCTTCAAGGATCGATATTTCACTTGCAGTTCAATATGGCAACAAAAGAAAAAGCTCTTGTCCTGGCTCTCACATTCTTTTCAGAAACTGTTTTAAAATTCTACTTAAAGAAAAACAAAACGTAGCAAACCCCCTACTTTCCATATGTTTATCCTATTTAGTTTTCTTCAGGAATGCTTTGAAAACATGTTGAAGTTGTGCTATCATGAAACTGAATGCTGTCTTTTCTGTCAAAGCAAGTGGGCTCATTGTTTATTAAGGCATAACAAAATAGGCAAAATGACTTTAACTTGAACAAGGGAACAATTTTTGAGCTGGATTTATGATACTTTTTGATAGAAATTCCATCTTCAAGTTGTATCTTGTTCTCTTTTCCAGATGGTGCTTTGATGAAACAGTAACACACTTCATCTATAAGGGTGGACAGAATGATAGCAATAAGGAGTACAAATCTGTTAAAGAACGGGGTATACATATTGTTTCAGAACATTGGCTTTTAGAGGTATGAAGCTTGTTTTGTTCCCCATTTAAAAGTAAAATGAAATGGAGGCTTAAAACCTCCAAATTATAGCAATGGGTTTTCTGTAGGCACTTATTCTAAACATATATAAGGACTGATGTTTTGCATCCTGCTTTGAATTAATAAATTGAGTGATCTCTTTTCACTGATGTACATTTACATTGTTCTCCATAAGGAGAAAATAAATTCTCTTCCACTGAACACTTCTGCTACATTTTTCCCAGAATGGCAACCACGTTTTTCTCCTTGTGTGAAGTATTTCTTTTGACAATGTTTTTATTGTACTTTTCTTATGTTTAGGTGTGAAGTTTTTTATCTCAGTCAGTTCCTCATCTTTCTCTGATTAACTGGTGTTATTACAGAGTGCCCAAGAATGTAAATGGCTTCCTGAATCTCTTTTTCCTCACACTTACAATCCCAAAATGAGCCTGGACATCAGTGCAGCGCAAGACATCAGGCTCTCCTCCTCCTCCTTTCTTTCAACTGGAAAACCAGCTGAGGAAAATGAGGTATGATGTGTGATAGCAATGTGTTTTCCATTATTTGAATTCAGTTCATAATTATATTAACATAGTAATAAAAACATTAATACTAATTCAGCAGTGTCCTGAATCAGGTTTAGCTAGTTGTTAGTAGTAGCTATTGCAGATGTTCTCTAAGGTTTTTCTGCATTTGTAATATTCATCTTCTAGGATGATGGAGAAAAACTCAGGCATTTCAGTATTTGCTTTCCAGATTTGAAAAGATAGATATCTTTTCTTTTAGGTAATAAGATCGAAGGTGTGATCTCACTTTAGTAGACATTAAGATTGCAGAATTGGAGTTGTCATCCATGCTACTGTTCACTGTTCAACTGTCTTTGAAGTAGCAGAAAGGTTAGATTTATTGTAAGGAAAGATTAATGATCTTCAGAATTTATACAAGTGTCATACATAGTTAAAAAGCAGGAAAAAAAAAAAGGATGTTTGAGAAATCTGCTTGTCTTCACTGGTTTTAGATTATTCCAGAGGATGAAGATGATGTAACTACTGACCAAATAAAGGGAACAGTCACTGTAGGAGAAGAACAAACTGTAGCAAGTGAATCCAAAGGAGGTAAATGTAAATTGTTGTTTTCAGAATTTTTATGGACTATCAGAGTATCAATACAAGCCTTTGCAGTTCCAGGTGCTGAATGCTATGATTTGGAAACTTCAAGTAGCATATTAGTGTACTGGTGAAGTACAGCTGGCTTTTATTGGTGCTGGATGCCAGCAAAGGGTTTTCCTCTCTCTTTTAAAGGTCTTGGCAGCCCAACAGAAAATCATGACCAGTCATTGGAAGATACTTAATTGCCATTTCTTTGTGTTTAAAACACTGAAGTTCATCCTTAATGTAACAGATTTTTGGTTTGGAGTATATATTATGTAATTAAATGTGTTAATGCGAGTCTAAGTTAGATTGTTGAGGAGATTCAGAAGTGAGCCAAATGGAAATTTCTCCTTGTGTCTAAGAATAGGTGACTTCAGGCATATGTAGTTTTCCTTGATAGTCTTGCCCAAGTACTTTTCCTCTTTTTAATGTATAGTCTTTGTCCTGGTGGAAGGAGGGAGATTGATTGGAATTTCAGTTTTCACTGAGACAGTGAGCAGTTGTTCACTTTTCACTTGTTTCAGTATAAGAGTTGTGATAGTATGACTTTTGTTTCTTCTCTTAAGTTTTAACCCAAGCACTAGAAATGAGGGAGAACTTCCAGAAGCAGCTGCAGGAGCTCATGTCTGCCACATCACTAGTGAAACCACAAGGGCAAAGAGGATCCCTTTCAAGGAGCAGCTTTGATGGCTCTCCAGCCACTCCCGACAGCGCACGGTCTGTGCGAAATGGCCGCAGTAGGGTCTTGGAAGCTCTAAGGTATGGATTTGTATTTAAATGTATCTTGCTTTATCCTTGCATGTATTTAGACATTCATTGATATTTGAATAGGTCTCCAGGATTTTCAAATGTATTGTCTGTTTCTACTGATGTGCTTGATTTGCTTCTGCAGTTCAGAATGTTTAACTGAATGTGCTAGGTAAAGTCAGAATATTGCCTTAATCCATAGTGGGTATCTTTTGTTTTTTATAAAAACCTGAATAGTATGACTGGTTTTAATGTTCAGGTTTTGAACTGGCTTATTTTCTTCCTCTTCAGATTCCTTAGTGTTCTTAAAGCTTTTGAAGAAAGTGTGTATGAATGCTTACATAGGTCTTAAAGAAGTAGTAGGCATTACTGCAGAGCACCTCTGTGAATGTTTCTTCTCTTTTATTTTTCTTTTCTCTCTAAATGGAGAATAGGATTTGAACTCCTTCAATACTGATGTGCAATAAGACAGTAATGGAACCCTTGCAAAATAATTCATTTAGCTTGGTGCCTATTTGTAAATAAATAGGCTTAATAAAGAGTAAGGTATGCTGATTTTATAATAGCTTATTAATATGCAGATAATAAAAAATATCTGCTGGTATTTTGGGTGCCTGTTTTCAGCCATGCTGACACTTAGGTTCATAAAGCCAAGGTGCTAGAATAGCTTCTATAGTGAAATTTTCCCCTTTCCCAGCCATAACTTCTAATAATGAGGTCACTTGGGTTCTGCAGTTGATGTGATCATTAACACATTGCCTCCTAGAGTGGAAGTCTTCTGTAAATGAGTCTGTAAGGTGTCTTGGTTTTTCCCTTAGGCAGTCCCGCCAGGCACTGGCAGATGTAAATACAGAGCCATCCCAGAGCGAGCAGATCATTTGGGATGATCCTACTGCGAGGGAAGAGAGAGCAAGACTTGTCAGCAACCTTCAGTGGCCTAACAGTCCCTCTCAGTACCTTGAGCAAGGTCAGAGTAACACCAATAAGAACGTGGATGAGTCTGCCCTCAAAGGATCCGTACCTGATGCAGAGATGGCTGGTATAGGTAAAATTACAAATGCAATATTCTTGTTCTGTGCAACAGCATCCATTTGGCCTTGGGACTTTTAAAATACAGTAGTATTTGAGTTCTACTTACAAAAAATGTGAGCATTGTTGGCATTTCTCAAAGGCCAAAAGTGTCATTTCACGTCTTTGAGTTCCATTATGTGTTGCTGTTTTTTAAAGAGAAGCTTTCCCATTCATTTGTGGTCAAACACCACATAGACTAAAAATACGTAGTCTAATATTAGTTTTAATATTTACTAAAAATAGACTGCTGTGGCTCTTAAAAAATGCCAACAACTGAAGGACTTAATAAAATTTTTCAAGTTGTTTTGGTTTCTTTTCTTTTTTGAACCACAGCTGGCTTCCAGGTAACTCTACAGGTAAGTATAGTGGAATTCTAATGGGAATACCATGAGAAACTTTTCCATTGTAGTGGAATGGAAAGTATTCATAGGTGAAAAATTGGGGTACAAGATTAACTCACAGACCCAAAACACCAAGATGTGTCAAGTTGCTGATGGACATGCTTGGGTAAGGATTTGGTAAAGATACTTTATTTATGTTCCCTGTTCTTGAAGTCTAAAGTCTTTTGCCAGGATTAAGGAAGCAACGTACCTTTTCTGCTAAAACCAGATGTTTTTTCATCTGTTTTGCTTTCTTTCTGTTCTGTGATAGCAGAATCCCTTATTTCTCTCTCCCTGCTGCCACGAACTCCTTTCCTCAGTCTACTTGCGGACTTTCTATAGCAGCAGTCTTCCTGAAAACTGACCTTGTCCTAGAGGAGGTTGAAGAAAATTAGATAATTCCATTCAACTGATTTTTGGTTCAACTAAATCAGTGCAGTTTAGCCAAAGAAATCAGATCATTTGAGGTTTTCAGGTGTTTTATTAAAAGCAAGGCATTCAGGGACATGATTGCAATATTGCTGTTGGTGGTTTGTGGTATAAGGAAGAGCATCGTTATCAAAGGCAGGTGAAATATAACTGTACATGTTGTAGCAGCAGTTGTGGGGATTTTTAATTTTTATTATATCTTTATACATACTTATAATCTTCCAAAGGCAAGTCATGCAACACCACTTTAATTTGACAGATGTTCCTGAGGCTGGGCATGGAGATGTGACTGAAAGGCTGAAGAATCCCATATGTAGAGATCCCGAAACACCCGTTAAGGATAACTTGATCCCTACTCCACAGGCACCCAGCATTGCTTTCCCCCTGGCTAACCCTCCTGTGGCACCAGAGCCCAAAGAAAAGGTTTGTCTAATGGAAATATATTTATGATGATTTGTGTTCTGAGAGATGCAGTTATACCTAAAGAAATTTTGAATTTAATGATAAATATAAAATGTACAGATCTGGATTTAAAATCTTGAGGTGGATTACTTTTGTACAGTTCTATTATCTTTTTTCTATTATTTTCATTACCCCCCCTTCCTTTGAGATTTTTAACAAATAATATTTGCTAAAAAAAACTGAAGCTTGTTTGTTTAGACAAATGAAGCTTTTTGTCCCATTAGTTAGTGCTGGGATGCTAAGGCAGGCTTTGAATTACTATGTGTACTGCGTGGAACTCCTCCAGCCATGTTAGGATGACAGAAAAAAAATTAGGCCTTTGTTTCTTTGGTTGTATCTGGAATTTTATGTTTAGGTACAAATGGGAAATTATTTTTCTGCCAAAACCTGGTTTAAAATTCTCTTTAATTTTGAACTTGGAAGGGGAAAGGAAAATGAGCTTATGGTCTCACCTGCAGTGTGTCACTTGATGCTCAAAGTTTCAGCAGCTGGGTATCTTCAGAGCTATAGCATATCATCTTAGTGGAAGGGCCCTCAAAAAACATGGTATTCTGACCTGACAGAAAGTGAATGAATGAGGCAGTGTGATAGATCAGTGCTGATTTCTTCAAGTGTTCAACCTGGCATTCCATGGATATGAATGAAGGGCTACTTGTTATGACAGATTAGTTCAGCTGTGCCCTGAAGAAAGGGGGAACCAAGGGGATGTTCAGGCAGGAGCCTAAGGATAATATGATAAGATCCAAGCTTTTTGTCAAGTGACTGACAGGTTTGGTTCTGCTTTTCCCAGCTAAAAGAAACTTAATGTATAAATATTTGGCAGAGAAATAGTCAGCTGTCAACCTAATCATTCTGTCATATTTTCAAAATCTGTTACCGTATTTCTAGGTTGTTACTGAAGATAAGAAGGTTGATGAAGAAACAGAAAAATTCCGTAAATTTCAACTGTCTTCTCTTAATCCTCAAGAAAGAATTGATTACTGCCATCTGATTGAGAAATTAGGTACCAGATATTTGTGAAATTCAAAGAATAGTATGTGTCTGTATATGTCTGCTCAGCTGTGGCTTGTTGGAGAGAAGAAACGGCTTCTGTTAGTGACTCATTAGATTTGAGGTCTCAAATTTATGGCTTTCTGTGCTTGTGAGCAATTCTTTGAATATAGTGTTATTATTATGTGAGTGATCAGCTTTTCCATAAAACAGCAATGGTTTTGTCTTCTGATAGTTTTCTTTTAGCTGTTTTTACAACAGCCTCATTCTTTACTGTTGGGAGTGCCCAGGATGGGCTCTCTTCTGGTCTCTTGTTCCTGTCTGTGTTGCTGTGGCATTTTACAGAGCCGCTCTTTCCTGCCTGCTTCTCCCTCCCTAGCAGCTTCTGCCCATGTCATTTCAATGACAATACTCTCCATGTAAATTTGAGCTGAATTTTTGTCTGAATTCAAATCATTCTCACTTAGAGTTGATCCTTTCTGTGTGTGGCATGATACTTAGATAATTTGAATGCAATCCATTCCTCACTTCAAGGTGGAATAGTGCTTGAGAAGCAGTACTTTGATGCGAGCTGCACACACATTGTTGTGGGACATCCTCTTCGCAATGAGAAATTCTTGGCCTCGATGGCGGCTGGCAAGTGGGTGCTTCACCGTTCCTACCTGGAGGCGTGCAGGGGAGCTGGCTGCTTTGTTCAGGCATGTCACCCTAGCACTAGGACATGAGTGTGTTTTACCTTTTTGCATTTATTCTTGTTTTGCACTGCTAGGGAAAGACCACTTCACAAAACCGATTGCTAGTTTAGGGTGCCCAAGCCATGGGAGTGTTAGGGAATCCAAAATCTGAGAGGTTTTTGGCCACCTTTGTCTGAAAACTAGCCCTGCACCAAACTGTTAATGTAAGATAAATTAAATACCTATGCTTTTTATAATTGCTTCTTAAAATTGAGTCTTTGAATGCCTTTTGGTAAATTCTCACTGTTATCAGCTAAATTTACATGGCTCTTGTTAAACCAGGAAAAAAATCTTGATTCTTTCAATAAATGAACATGTATTATTTTTAAATAATTTGATTTTATAACCATGTATCTAAATATTTTTGAACTCCACCTCTTCTGATGCCTTCCTAACTGTTAATTTTGCAGTTCTCCTGGGTTGTACAGTTCTTTTACATTGACCAGGCTAACTTTAAAGTAATGCCTGTAAACTGCTTCATATCCTTATGTATTAAAACTGACTTTAATTGTTTTGGAAGATACTGCAGAAATATAATCAGTGGTATCCAGTGTAGTGAGATGCTTTGTCCTGCTGTTGAATTCTATTGTAGATGTAACTGCAAGAGGAATCAGATTATGTGCAGGACTTGATGTCACAGAAAACATGGGTTAATTCAGATAAACATGTGCAATTCAGAGCAATTGCACATATCTAAATTATCTCGAATATCAATATCTTGAATTCTACCTAGAACTGTTTCTACCTAAAATTATCTACCTAAATTATCTCGAATATCAATATCTTGAATTCTACCTAGAACTGTTTTGGCTAGATAAAATCCATATATGTATATATAGCTACAGTGAGATGAGATTTGTTTCAGAGTTTTTTATTTTCTCTTTGGTGTGGGTTTTTAAAATCTATTTTTCTGCTGATAAAGTTGGCAAGATTGCTTTGTAATCCAAGCTTATGATTATTTTCAGGAAGAAGACTATGAGTGGGGAAGTAACTCCATACTTAATGTTTTGTCTGGAATCAATGTAAACCAGAAGAAACTAGCAGTGGCAGCCATGAGGTGGAGGAAAAAAATTCATAAAGGGAAGCAAGAAACAGGTGTTGTTGAGGTATATAGATAATCCTGTAATGTGAGCTGTACAGTGTGAATGGACAGGACAGGGATTGTCATCAAGAAACTAAAAACTTCACTGTCAGGGGAAGGTTCTGTCTTGTTATTAAGAACAAAACTTCTTGGCTTGATATATTCTAGTTAAGTAATTTTGTTTTTTAAAAAAGTTTCTGTAATGGTAGATTAAAAGTCTTAGTCTCCTCTGAACCACTGTTCATGTTTTGCAAGGCTGGAATGTGGCTACTTATGTATGTAAGTGTCCCTCAGCCAGGAAGATGATATTTATTTTTCAGAGCTCTTGCTGGAGAGCTAACCTAACTCAGCTCTGCTGGGAAACCAAAACTGGTTACTGCTTTCATAGTCTTTCAGTGAGATTTTTGGAAGTGAGACTTGAACTCCCCAAAGCCTTTCAACTCCTCTCAAATCAGGCACTGCGGTTGAGGTTTCATTGAAAGATTATGTTTCAATTATGTCGGGAAAAATCTGGTGTGTGTGTTACAGTAACCTTTTTAAACAGAATGCTTGTAACAAATCTTCCGTGCCCTTTGCCTATGTGGAAACCACGCTGAGTGTTCCTAGGAGGCAGCCAGTTGGCCCTCTGTGCTGTTACTGTAACTAAGTGCATGCTGGGGGAACTGGGGAAGATGTTTCCAAGTTACTGGGGGTTTTTTAAGGTACATTTTTCACAGTGTCTGGTGTTTTGGGAAGCACACTCTCTGCAAGGGTCTTCCCTTAGAGGGGGGAGGCTGGTAGCTGTATGTTCTGTGGATTTTTTTTCTGGCATGCATACTTAAAGGCAAAACTGGGTAATTGCAGGTCTTCATCTGAAGACCCATTAAATCTTTGTACTTGTTCAGTACCAGCATACTTTTGACTGAATTGTCATTTATCTAGGGTGCTTTCAGTGGTTGGAAAGTGATCCTGAATGTTGATCAAACCAAGGAGGCAGGATTCAGGCGCCTTCTTCAGTCGGGAGGAGCAAAAGTACGTAGTTGATTGAAAAAAACAATGAACTGCATATGTTGTTTAATTATTTTTTTCTTTCTGTTTAACTCTGTGCAGGGCATTTTTCATGAGAGTAAAAGGTCTTAATGAACAAAATTGCTTACACAGGGTAGCTGAGAGATGGTCAAAGGGTGGGAGGAAAAAGCTTTGTCATCTTCACTTTGCAAGTGGTCAGGCAGAGCAGCTTGTCTGAGGTTACACAAGTCAGTACTGCTGGTGGGAATTGAGGATAGAATTTCTGTCCCCTGCTCTGATGGGAAGGATCACCCTTTTGGACAGGTATGTGATGGTACAGAATGCAGCTGTAAATGGTATTTGATTTCCCACTGGTTTCTCTTAATTTGATGAGAGAAATTGAACATTATGAACTGCATTTGTCTTGGGGAAAAAACTCAACTTTTGTGGGTCGTGTTTTGTCTGTAGGTGTTCTCTGGCCATTCTGCTTCTCTCTTTAAAGAAGCAACTCACCTCTTTGCTGACTTCAGCAAACTGAAGCCAGAGGACTCCAGGGTGGACGTGGCAGAGGCAGCAGCCCAGGGAGTGAACTGCCTCAAACCCGAGTACATCGCTGACTACCTCATCCAGGTGGGCACAGCCAGGGCTCCCTGCCTGCCACACCCAGCCCCCTGCAGGGAATGGCTGCTCTGCCAGTCACGGGCCTCTTTTGCCAGGAACTGTTGCCACAAAGTGCCTGTGCCGAGGGCTTTGATCTGTGGCCTCAAATTTATGCTCTAACATGACTTGTTCTGGTGCTGGCAATGGGATCTCTTGCAGGGTAGGGAGCTGCTTGCAAAACATATTTAAAATGTAGGTGTATAATGTTTGTTTTGTTGTTTCAGTTTTAGACAACTAATGAGGTGTTTCTTTTATCTCAAAAGCTGCTCTTCTTGAGGTGACCCATTCTTTTTTTCTTTCTTTACTGAAGGATCCACCTCCCCCTATGGAGTCTTACTGCTTGCCAGAAGCTGTGTCTTACCCTCAGAATAACTCAGATCTTGGAATTGGATCATCCCAGAAAAGAAAAGCACTGGGAGAAATGAGCAGAGTCAAGCGATCCAGAATACACTAAGCATATTCTCTGATCTTAATTTGTACATTTTAAAATTCATATTTATATTTTTTCATTCTTGCCCAAAAAATTAAAAGCTTTGAGTTTCACTTTTTATTTGTCCTGAGATTAAAATAAATTTGCAGTAATGGTTATAGGAAAGATTGCTTTGGTTACCAGTAGCATCTAAAACTATGGCAAGAATTCATCCAAAACATATTTTACCTTGTCTCAACTATCCCATCACTGCACTAGTGATTTTTTCTGTAGGCACAGTTGTATAATAATAGTTCAGAAATCATTTGTAAAATGCTTATCACATCTTTTATCTGTGTGTTGTGGGGAAAATACCAATTGATGAAAATTCCATTGCATTTCCCATATAGTAATAGACTTAGATTTTTGCTTTTTTTTTTCATCTTTTGGTATTTTCTATTGGAAGGGAAGAGGCAAATCAGACAAAAAGAACTGGCTTGTAAATTTTTTGTACTAATAGAGAGTGTAGTAAATTATTGCTATAGATTACAGGTGCTGTTGCTGCCATCCTGAGTGCTAATGAATCTGCTCAGCAACTGCAGAAACAATTCTATTACCCAAGAGGTGAAGTTTGTCTTGACCATGTTCCCTGTTTGAATCTGTGACAGGAACCAGAGCCAGACAAAGACTTCAGTTTCTGGCAGCTGGAAATGTTCTTAGTCAGACAGCCAGAATATTTGACAAAGTCTTTGACCTTTTCAGTAACAGTGGGTCTGGGTATTTACAGAACTTTATGTATGTGAGTGCACTGTGTTAGTCTAGGCAAAGGTGTTCTCATGGAACCTGAAGAGTTGTATTTAAGCAGCTGGAATTACTACAGGCTGCTTGAACAGAAAAGCACAGCATCCAGTTGCACAGGACCAGTGGAGTTGTCTGGAAGAATACATGTAACACTGAAGTCTATTTAATTTACCTCTTTTTTGTTTTGAAGGCAGGGGTGTATGTTATGTTTATTTTCTAGCTGCTGAATACTGTTTTCTAGAAAGAGTTTACATCAGTATTTGTTACAGATCCAAGACTGAGCCACAATCATTTAAGAGCCCTGTGCAACCTGGAGCAGTCCCTCTGGGCTGGGCAGAACAAACCTTTTGCTGCTTGGGAAAAGGACAAGGCACCTGAGCCATGGGGTCTCCAGGTGAGAGAGAACAGGAAAGCAGCTTGTCTTTATGTGCAAGGCTGTGCTTTGTGCTTCTGATTTCCTGCTTTAGTGCAGCAGATCTTTTATTAGTGAGCTCTGCAAACTGCTGTCAGCATAACCTGAAGGAATTGTCAGAAAGGAGTGAGAATGAATGTGAGGTATTTGCTTCTTTAAAGAAGTGAAATCTGTGCCCCTGTCACTGCGGTCTTGGCTGTGACAAGACTGCTATGTTGAGCAGCAGTGACTACAGCCTTACCCCACCTGCTTTTGGTTGTTTTTTTTTAATAACAGCTTGATGCTTTTTGGTATTTGTGGACATCAAACATCTTCAACTTGTTCCAAGTCCATGTACTGAAAATAATGCCACTGTTAGTGCCTTACATCACATTTTGAATTAACTTTAACTTTGAATTAACTGTGTATTTCACTGTTCTACCTCTGAAGTGCTGCTTTGCATTGCAGGCATTTGAAACAGGTGCAAGTATTACCAGGCAAGACCTAAGGTTCCTGTGACTTTTTCTTCCCAGAAGCTGCTGTGGAAGGGTAGTGTTGGTATTTTCACTTTATAGATAAGAACCCATTCCCTGACCACAGTGAAACAAGTAACTTGGGATCTGAGTGCTACAAGGGCAGTGTTCTCTGCCCTTGTGGACACTGGTTTAAAGCCAGGGCTGAGGCAGGACAGTGAGGGAGGGCTGGGGGAACAGAAGCAGAAAGCAGCTGTTCCAGCCAGAGCCAACTCCTCTTCTGTGCTGGGCCTCAAACATCCAGCTGTCTGTATGCCACACACAGGGGAACACAACACAAGCAAGACAAACTTGGGAGATGAAAATTCAGTTGGTGCTGTTAAGATAAATTTATTTTCTTCAGCTTTCTTCACAGGAAACATCATGAAAGTGCTTTACAGAGTTTGAATACCATTACTCTACCATGGGACAAAAGGACAACAGGTGTGTGCACTGCACAGTTAGAAGTTGTCATATGCGGAAGCCATGATAGGTAAACCAGGGTAAAAAAAAAAATCTACTGACAAAAATATATATAGTTCAGGCATTGAACTTAAGTTATGACTATTAACACAATTATATAAATATACAGGCACCATTAGGTTCCTGTGTTAACTGTGGGGGCCACACAGGGATTCTCAGAAACAGATCATCTTGAACTCTGCTTAAACAGTTTCTGCTGTGCTCCATAGGCTCCCAGCCAAACCATTTCCCCAGACAGTATAATTCTTTTTCTTTTGCACTACACTGAGCCCACAATTAATTTATTCACATTAAAGTCTGGTACTGATGCATTCTGGTACATTGTTGAAAACAAATTCAGGTTGCTTTTTTTCCTTTTGATTTACAGAGAGCTCATCTTACAATTCTTCCCTCAATAATCTCTTAATTAAAAAAAAATTAAAATGCTTTAGGCTAGATCCTGCTGTGAGGTAAGACAGTTTTGTTTAAGCTAGAGCATTACAGTCATGCAACCCTACTCCTTTCCATAGCCGAGGTGTGTTGTACTGTGAACAGTGCTACTGCCTCCCTTTTGTTGTACTCTGTGGGAATTCAGCTCCTGCATAGCCTTTGAAGCTCTCTAGGTTTCAGTTCTTCAAGGAGACTGCATTTACTTGCTAGGCAGTTTTGCAATGTTTGTGATATTACAGCCCTGACAAAAACAATGCAGCATGATCAAGACTCAGGAGTTCTTGCCTGCTGCTTTCTAAATAAGTGGTGAATAATTCAGGCACCTGACTAAGGAATCCTTGGCATGGTAATAATGTAGATGAATAGAAGAAGGAGAGAATACTCTAGGGCAAAGAGAGGTCAAACCAAGAGATTTTTGCTGTGTTTTGAGTTCCAGGAAATACAATGAGCAGAGCCCATTACCTAGAAAACATTGCCATACCAGTTTCCAAAGCCACTTTGCCTTTTTCCCAATTCCCAGAGTAGAGACACAGTGCACGGTCAAAGAACTTGTCAGTGCTGAAGGTTACTGGGCCATTGGTAAGTAACAGTACAGAGCTACAGTGGCAAGACAGGGCTTTGGTGAGTACAGCAGAGGTGAGGCTTCCAGAGGCACAGGGGAGCCTATGAAGTGTTACCTTCTAACAACTCTCAGACTCATTGGCTCTGTTTTCCTACCCACGTCCTCAAAAAGTGAAAATCTACCAACTCCCCTTGGCCAACTTAATCAACTCCCAGCGGCCACGACTGGTTTTTGACAGAATACTGCTGTAATAGAACACTTAACAGATACAGATCTTTGGATGCAAAATCCAAGGTACATTGTTCTCAACCCAGTATCAGCATTAGTACTCAAAGGCAGCTGCTCTCTAGGATGTGGTACTCTGATAATTGAGGTAATGCAGCTCTCAAGGGCCAGGCTGTACATCCTACCAGGCTTGAGTCTGCCCTTATGACACATCCTTTGTATCTGTAAACATAACATGACTGGGAAATTCAGTCAGTGCTTAAAGACAACATCATTTACAACTCCATGCTCTTTAAAGCACAAGATGATGAGAATGAAGAGAACAAACAAACCACAAAGACTAAGCCTGCCCTCCAGTGTTGCTTCATCTCAAATACTGTAACGCAGTTTCAATATCCAGTTAAATACTACTCCAGGTATATTAGATTGAGCATGGCTGAGCTCATGTGGTTGCTGGTCAGAGACCAAGTAATAGTAATGCATCTGCTTCATCTCTGGCACAAAGAGGAGAATTACCCAAAAATTTAAAAAAAGTTTCACTGGCACTTGATTCTGGCTGTCACACCTAGATGTCAAATGATCCCAAATCTTTGATCTCAAATCAAATGTTAATGAAACTGACCTTGTATGACAGAAATAACTATTGAAACCAGTGAAGTTAAGCTCTGGGAGACCATACGCATATTTTTGCCTTTTTCTCAATATGTTCTATTGTAGCAACCAGTTTTTATGGTTTGAATCCCTTTGCTATGGTTGTATATACTCTGAAAGATATGCAAAATAAGTGGTTTGTTTTAATTGAAAAAGGAGGCTTATGACAATACTTTAACAGTTTTCTGTAGGCAATTACTTGAAATAAAGCAGACATGTAATGTGATGACCTCATTGCTATAACTGAGATAGAATGGAAATTCACTACAGAAGAGAGGAGACATGAAAAGGAATAGAAAACATCAGATTGAGCAAAAATTAGTAAGAGCTTGCCATGCTACTCACTGACCAGAAGAGTGGATTATATACATGAAACTGAAGACTTCAGTACATCAAATGGCAAAAGCCAATCCCCATGGAAGTTACTGGGTTGATGGTGATGGCTAGGATATTCTACATGACTGCAAATTTGGCAAATCAGGGGCAGGTGAGTTGTCAATAGGAAAAACCAAGGCAATAAATACTGGAAAGGTTTTAAACCACTCATACATGCTCTGGTAGAAGTTGTGACATGAGTCTGAGTTAGTTGTGATCTTTCAAGGGGACGATCTAGGCATCACCATGGGCAGCTTGATGAAGACATCTGCTCACTGTGTAGTTGCAGTCAAGAAAGCGAGTAAGATGTTAGGCTGTATTAAAGACAGAACAATACAGAAAAATATTACAGCATCTATTTCTCTTAGAGGTGATAATCTCAATGAATATTTGCTGTTTCTTCAGCACCTTAAAAAAAATGACGTATTAGAAAAATAAGGCAGGAAAGTGGTAAGAGAATGGTAGAAGCAGCTCCTTGGAGCTGGAAGGACAGTAAAACTAAGGTAGCTTATTTGTTAATAGGGGAATAGATGACAAACATCTTAAAAGCAATTCTTCCCATATAAGATGCATACATGAAAGTCATTTTAAGTCACCTACCAATAAATATATGGACCTTAATACTACTTGTTACCATCATCATCATAAATATTCCAAGAAGTCCCATGTTATTCAGTGCTTATTCATCTAGCTAAACATTTTCTCTGAAGCAACTGCCATAGTTAGTTGAAGTTTAACAGTAATAATTTCTGACAGAGAACTGTCACAGCTGATGCACATTAACAGCTGTCTTAGAGGTGCTGCAATGATAAAAATGTCAATAAGAGAAGCTAACTGCTTGGGCCTCATCTCTGTGCAGGACCCACCGGAGCTCTCGTTTGCCTGCATGCAGGCCACCAGAGTGTTGTCTTCTGATTCTATTTGAGGCCCCATTGTAAAAGGGGAGCAATGAACCTTGAAAGCACCAGCAAAAGCAGACAAAGGCATATTTGTAAGTTACTACTGCATCAAATGCAGCTAGCTCATAAATCGGGAGATAATAAGTAGAATAATTGCCTCTGCTGTATCTGTATTCCTTCCTCTTACCTATTCTGTTTACCCACTCACACCTAAGTTTTTTATAATTTCTTCCCTTTATTTCACAAAACCCCCTCCATGGCCAACTACTTCCCTTTTGTTCATTCTCTTCCTCTACAAATTGCCTTAATACCAGATTTTACAGGTTTTGAAGATTATTCTCTCTCCTTATTTCCCTTGTATCTGCATGCCACTTCAACTTAAGGAAAGAATAAAGAGCTAGAAAAAGTGTTTACACATGGAGAGAAGAAAAACACATTCCTATGACAAAGTACCCCTTAGTATCAGGAGTGAACATTTCTGGTTCACGTGATTTGAACAAACTTTAAAACAGCCACATTATAAAAAATGGCTATCAACTGTGAGCAGGATTTTATTTCAGTCATGGGGTTTACAAAATAAAAGCAATATTGATTTTAATATGTTCCACATAAAAACAAAGAGCCTCCTATTAATATGCCATTTGGGTTGCACAGATAATTGAATAGAGGAAATACCAGTTGAGTGCTCAGCCTGAACTTTTTCCTTACTCATACATACTAAAATAAGTCAAATTACATAATACTTAAATAGGACGTATATTACATTCCATAAGATAAGCCTTTGCCAAAGTAGTATTAAAATACTATAATAAAAGCTAATTTTAATAAAGATTTTTAGTCCTCTGTAGAACCTTCCATCAGCCCCAGCCCTTTACAAAGAACAGCTTTGGCCTCACAACATCCCTGTGAGGTAGGTTGTTGGTTATTTTGGTACAGCTGGGGAAACTGAGGCAGAGTGAAATAAAATTACTTGAACACAGCAGCTCAGTAGAAAACCTAGGCCAAATCCCACTCTCTTGGTCCCATGCTTCCCATGCTCTTGCTAAGAAATGGGCTTGGCTTCTTTTCAGTGCACACAGTTGTTTTAGATGACATTTCCAATCCAATACTCTGGACACACTGCTTTACCTGGTGACTCACTGATACTGTGATATGTTTTTAGTATTTGTACTCTGGCTAAGCAGAACTTCACTGAAGTGAACACTGAACTTCAATAACCTTGCTGCTTCAACACATACTCTGAAGCAACTGAAGATAAACCCATGATGTATGTACCATTTAGTAGTTACTTCATTCAAAAAAAAAGAGTCTTCATAGCTATTTAAAACAATGCCTCAGCCTTTAATCATGCAGAAGTGAAAAATAATTTTCTTAAATACACAACTTATTTCCTAAGAGGATTGTTGAGCCATCTTGAAATTTATCCTCAGGTTTCTGTTTAGGCGACAGATCAGATTCATACCAATGCAAAATCCTACCTTCTCTGTGAACACATTCCCCCAGTTCATTGAAAGGAAGAAATAAAATGTGCTGCCTTCCCCAAGTACTGAACTTTAAACAGTTTTGCTGATTTAAAGTCAGAGGAATCTGTCACATGTGCAAGCAGTGCCTACCCACACAGCACTTGTCCTATCCAACACCTGACACTCCACTCCCTGCCTCAGGCTATGCACTCAAAGGTATCATTTAGAAAACAGCCCTCCTAATCCCTCTCTTCTTACAGCACCTATGTTTTATTTGCATAATTCCACTCTCCTTTATTTATTTATTTATTAATCCTACTTCCTACTCTATTTCACTTCAAACAGAACATGGCACAACAACAGGTGATGCTGGAGAAGCCAAACTTTAGATACACAATTGCAATTGACTTAGACCCCTCAGTTCTGTTTTCTGCTGTCACTTCTTCCTTCAACTGCTAGTGCTTGCAGGCTCTCATATTAACCTCAATACAGACAAGCTGTCTTTATAACTTTTTCAGGAGTTTATCTGCAAATGTATGTATGTCAGATTTCATCCCCTCTGTACATACCTAATTCATATACCTGAAGTTTCAGTACACTTTCTGTTTTCTTATACTGTCTTATAAAAGCCCCTATTTAACATTGAAAACAAGTTGTAACATCAAAAGCTGAAAACAGGGAAAAAGAATTTGGAAACTAAGTTTCAGTCCATCAAAAAAACCTAGACTGTGGCTGTTCATAAAGACTATACACTACTTAAGGTGGTTTTGGTATGATTTAGCTTCTTGGGCCAATGAGGTATAAGTTTCTGACCACGTCAATATTGGAGAGAATAATATTACTTTGTAAGTAAGCAACCTTATTTAAGCACATGAAGCCCTATTAATCTCTGCTCCATTTTAGTTAGGGTATTTGAAAGAAAACCACAAGCAGGTTTAAAATTGCTTAAACGGGCAGAAATTAGAAAGGCAAAAAGCTACAACTATTGCAAAAGCTCAGATAAGCAAACTCCAAAGATGTGCAGCCCAATCAAATTTATATTGTGTTTACTTGACCTGAACAACACTGGGGTCTCAGCCATGGTGTGGTCAAAGTTTCCAAGAGCTGACAGATGCAGTCAAACACCAAAAGCCATATTCCCTGTGGTGTCAGGCCTCTAACACAACCATTAAAAATTCATCTAAGTTACTGTGGACATTACTGGTAGAGCTAGCCACAAATACAAAACTGAAGTAACAGGAGACAGTCACTTTTAATTGTCAATTCCTCTTCATTTGTGAATAAGATTGAACATGACACAGCTAAACTGGGAGAGAAGGGCAGGGGCAAAACTAATCCTCTCCTATATTTATCATCAGCTCAAGTAAATACAGATTCCAGATACCTACAGCTGGCATTTGGGAAGTCTAACTTGATTATAATTACCTGGTTTTTAGCATTTTAATATCTTCAAATGCAGACTATCACTGAGAAACACAAATCCAAACTGTTCTTTTCCCAGTAAGCACTGGACACGTTCGTGTTCTACCAGCAAACTGGTAACTTTATGGCTGTTTTACTGTAAGCCAGAGAAAGTAAACCAGAACCTTTAAGCTGGGAATTAACAAGCAGCCCACCATAAAAGCATGTCACATGCCAGGAGTCCCTGAAGCAGCACACAAGTCCATCAGATGGACTGGCATCAAGAGTCTCATTTCTACAACTGACAACGCTTCATTTATGGAATAAGCCTTCAACAAGCATTTTGAAGGAATGAAAAGGACATTCTTAGCATGCCTGAAATAAAAGCAACAACAAACCAGGATGAAGTTGAACTTCAGAGTCTCCAAAGCATACCAGGCTTCTGCAGAGGACTGACTCAAAATTTCAGGCATACAGAGCAATTACAAGGCAGATACTGACAACTGGCATTTTGATAGCTGCTGGCAGCTATACTTTACACGAGAAACACTTCTTTTAAAACAGTTTAACATTCTGTACTATGGAAATCTGCATTTCCGATTTGTTTTCCTTATGCCTCCAGAAAGAAACTGGAATGATATGCTTAAGAGAAGCCCCCAAAGGAACACCTTTAGTTATCACTACCTGATGGGCTCCAGTGATAGCAGCCATGCAGAGCTTATGTTTTTATTCCCCATTCTTTAATTCAGCAGAGGTACTTTGAAGTAAAAAGCAAATCAAAACTTCATTCATACTCAACTCACAATCTCAAACCAGTCTTCTATGGTGGGAGCAAGAAGACACTTTGCAAGTAGCAAACTAAACTTTTTAAGTATAAATAAAAACTTATTGATATGCACTGCTACAAGCTCTGAAACAGAGCCCACCTGACCATAAGGACAACTGCCTGCTCCAAGGCCTATCCCTGAAGAGATCCAAATGCTGTTTCCTCTGCTATTGTACAGTCATGAGCTCAAACTAAAACGTAAAGACTCACTAGACTCCAGAATCCATGTATATTTCCATTTTATTTGATTTGAAACTTTTACAGGGTTTTCTTGAACTGCCAGGATTCATGCCCCAAAACCTCAGATAAAGGTGGTACAATGGACAGTCTCATCCACCCTTCAAACAGGAGACTAAAACTCTATTCATGTGCATTAGTGATCGCAATCTCTTTAGAGCATCAGGAAA